GAGTGTTTTTGCACAGAACTGTGTCTCCTCAACCGGGATGATTGAAAGATTGCGGCCAGTCCACCACAAGGACCCCACGGCCAGCAGGGGGGGGGGGGGAATTCTGGGAGTTGGAAGTCCACATATCTTAAAGCTACCGAGGTTGAGAAACACTGTGTTAGCCTATATCCCATGTTTGAGGGAATGCATAGGAAAGCAATCAATGGTTGTGATTTCATCTTATTATATTCAGTGTTTTTATATTGATAGTCTGAAATGTCCAAGGCGGTGTTTCTCAGCCTTGGCAACTCTGTGTGGACTGTGTGAAGTCCACACAGCTTAAAGTTGCCAAGGCTGAGAAACATCGGTCTAAGGAAAACTAGCTCTCTACAAGCCTAACGATACTGCCACCATCACACACCACCTTGGTGTGAGAAACAGAGAGCAATCCACCTCTCTGCCAGTGTGTATTGTGGCAGGGAAAACATCGTCAGTCCATAAGCAGAACAGGAGATTTCTTCCTCTCCAAAAATCTCTTCCACCTGCTCCACTGGGTGGGGAAGAGAAGAAGAGACCTGTCCTTTTTTTTTCCTGTTTCTTTCTTGAGAGCTTGGAGAGGGCCTCTGGGCAAAAGGAGGTAGTTTTTCTGCAGTGGCTTATATGGGGCTGCCTTTGAAAGCTGTACAGAAAGAAAACTGACCCTAAATGTGTATGGGGTTAGTGGAGACCAGTCGTTGGGAATTCGTTTCTCAAAAATTCCTTGGTCTGCTTCGGAGGAATCGTAAATCATACTTTGGCGTTAAGAAAGGAAGGCTAACTCCCCCCACCCTAGTCTAGTTCAGTTTACCTTTTCTGGAAGAAGAATTCATTAGCTTCTGTTATTTATTAACTGCAGCTGCCATGTTTTCTACACTGGAACAAAGTCTGGCTAATCTTTAATGATGGTTATTGGAAACAAATGAATTTTCAAGTTACAGGGAATGTCTATGTCAATTTCAGTTTTTATTTTCCCCTGGACTGATATACTTTATTAGTACCAACCAAAATGACAAAAGGTGTGTAGAACTTAGTTCTCCAGAATCTGCATCAAGCAAGATCTTAAAGAATCCCAAAAATTAACCCAGATGTTTCAGCCATGAGGCTTGCAGTTAAGAGTCAGTGGTTATAGACAGAGAAATGTTAGATTTTTGTTGGTAAAAGGTTACATCCAGTCTTCAGGGAGAACAGAAATTGTAGCCTTTCTCCCCACCCCAACTTAAAATTGTATTCCTTATTTCTGTATCATTTAATTTTTTTTTAAATCCTGCATAACATTTCAATTTATGTATATTTTGAATAAAATACATTCTTCTAGGAATTTTATTTTTGTAGGTTATATTTACTTAATCTAAATCTTTCTGTGCATAAATATATACAGGCTGAATTTACCCCAGGACACTAATCCCTAAATCCTGGTTAACAAAATGCAATTGCTATGTTCCTAAGCCTATTATGGTTTAGTGAGAGAGTTTGGACAATAAATGGTTTTTGTCAACACACTGAATCAAAATCTACTCATCCTGATTTTAGCCTACCTTGAATGTTGTATGCATTGCACTGAAACACTTGGGGAACTATAATACCGTTGGATAAAAGCAGTTTAATGCACACCCTGGTTCAGAAAAACTGGGTTCTCACCTGCTAACTGATAAATAAATTTGTCTGGGTTTGTACAGTGGGTTAAGCTGTATATCATGGTTTCCAAATCACAGTGTCTTGACTCATATAATGCAAGCCAAAGCTAACCAAACATCATGGCTTAGCATGATATATTCTTAGCTACCTCATACCTAGGTGTTCAACCGCTGTGAAAATAGGATGATACGTAGGACTTTGCTCAATCCAGCATGGCTCTTACTATACTTTCAGTGTTGGATTTGTTTGGTTATAATTCTGTTACAGTGTGTGTATCATAACTTTGTGTTGGTTTTTGGCTACTGTCCTTTGTGTAGAAAGAAAACATATATATATATTCTTCTAGGAATTTTATATATATTATAAACATATATATATTCTAAATACTGTCACAACCTGTTTTACTGCCATAAAGCACCCTTCGTTTGTGATTTGAGAAAGTGAATGCGCTTTGCAGCTGCATTACAACCCAAAGGAAGTAGGGAAGTGGGGATGAGTTCTTAATAATTTTTTAAGGCTTCTTGAAGTCTAATAGGCTTGGTAGGGAAAATACAAAAGGAAGAAAACAATTGCCATTGTCATTTCTCCACTTGTTCTCCTCCTGCAGGTGGATCTTAATAAGGATCGGCTGGTGACCCTGGATGAATTTCTTAAATCCACTCAGAGGAAGGAATTTAATGAAGCTGATGGATGGGAGGTGTGTGAAAGGACACTGCCAACTCAAGTGGGATCCTGAGTGTTGGTTGGAAGGGTTGAGAAAGCACTTGGCTAACAGCAAGGAGATGGTTACATTTTTCCAGCTGGTACACCGTCACCAGTCTTTTGGACTTCAACTCCCATATTCCCCAGCTAGTATGGCCTTGGAGAAGTATTTGAATTGAATTCCAGCATACTGGAAGAACGCTAGGTTGGGATAAGCTATGGTAGATTATTCTAACTTTCTCCCTCTGCAACCAGAGATTGCCCTTTGAAAAATTATTAAAGAAGGTAACCTCTGGTTCACTTCTATGGTTTAAATACTCTAGTGCATGATTTGGGTGGCTGGGGAATTCTGGGAGTTGAAGTCCACCCATCTTAAAGTTGCTGAGGTTGAGAAACGCTGTTCTAAGCTCTTAAACATTCCTATATCCAAAAATATAAAAGAGATTAGGCACACTGAGAGAGGAGGCAGCCTTTGGTGGTTGCTAGTCTTAATAGCTCTGGTTGCAGTAACAAAGGCAGGAGGCCTTTGAATATTGATTGTCAGAGAAGATGGATGGGAGCATGTTGTCGTGGCTGGGCCCTGCTTTATGTAGCCCTTTGAGGTAGTCCAGACAAGAAATCAAAACTGCAAGTCCTAACACTGCCTTCATTGTAAGGTTACAGTAATAGAATCTTGGAAGTCTGAAAGCACTTCTCATCTCCTTTGCCTTTAATTTGGAAAGTTCTCTTGAAACTAAGGAGGGTCCCTTCTAAGATGGCTTCTCTGCCCCCATTCCTTCAGTGGGCTGAGATATCTCTTGTCTGACCATTGTCCAAGCTGTGGCTCTTCCTCCTGTCTCCCAAGGTCATTCTCACATCCCATTACATTTTAGACTTCCCAGTGTTGATTCACCATTTGGCTTCTGCAGGAACAGGATGCTGGGCTAGATAAATAATCTAGGAAGGCTCTCCTTGTATTCTTATGGGAAAGAAATCACTTATTTATCAGACTGCAAATCCCAATAAAATATTTCAGGGGGAAAGAATATTTAAGATGAATGGAGGTAACGGTAAATTCATTTTAGATAGGCTTGATGTATGAGTTGAAAAGTATCTCAGCAATTTGCGGTGTTTCAGACTTGCAGCTCCCAACAGTCCCACCCACCATGGCCAAGGGAAAGAATTAACATAGTCCTTGCTTTTTTTTTTTTTTTTTTTTATAATGTTTTTTTTATTTTTACAACAAACACAAAAC